TCTGAGTCTGACTGTAATCAGTTTCTGATTGAACCATGGAAATGGACTCGGGTTCACCGAAAGTGACAACCTGAGTTTGAAGTCGGATTGACATGTGGTTTTTCCAACTTGTAGTTTAGAGTTTGTACATGAGTTTAGACTATAATTTTGTCATTTTTTGTTTAATATTCAATGATTTATAGTCCCCCGAAGTTGGGATATCAAAACTGAAAATTTTCAACTTTTCAGCTATTTGTTTTTGTACTTTGTATTCTGTGAAAATGTTAACACATGCATATCTCATTCGTTTAAAACCGGATTGACATGCGGTTTTTTCTAGAGTGTAGTTTAGAGTTTGTACATGATTTTAGACTATAATTTTGTCAATTTTGGTTTCATATTCAATGAGTTACAGTCCCTCAAAGTCGGGATATCAATATGAAAATTGTCAAAGTTCAACCCACTAAGTAGTAAGTAATTACCAAAAAATTCCGATTTTTCCGAGTTTTCCGGTTCTAAACCCACTTTATCCGGTTCCAACCTACCCACTTTGATGTTTCCGGGTTTTCCGGTTCTAGACCCACTTTACCCGGTGTCGTACTCGGAACTGAACCGGAACCGGTTCCTATATATCGGTTCAGTTTCCGGTTCTACAAAATCTCGTTAACCGGTTCCTGGTTTTCTGGGTCCGGGTTTGGACCCACTTTCATCCCTAATGCACGCTTTGTGCATTGATTGTTTGTACACCGTAGCTTTTTGACGAAACAGTAGACTATTTTATATCTACTTTTTGGGAAACCGTAGACTTGTCAGAGCAAACTGTAGACATTTAGAGGTCTGCAGTTTCATATGTAATTTTGAAAAAAAAAATCCTATATCGTAAAGGCCGAAATCGTAGGTTTTAAGGCGAAACAATAGACCATTAAAATTACGTAGGGTTTGGGTGGTTATTTTGAGATAAATGTTAATTATTAACTAAAAATGGATAAGTCATTAGAAAAAATGACTAGATTATAATTTTCTCTTGTTTTTTAAGGAACTCAGACCTTATTATTTTGTTATTTTAATAAATAAGATTTTCCTTATCATCTGATTTTTTTGACCAAATTCTCATAAGAGGAAATAGATGGACTGTGGTAAAACTTGATACCCCTATAAACATAAACATACATCATATTCATCGAACCATGCATGTTAAGTTAACCGCTATGGTTTATCAACTTAAATTTGTCTTCTTTACCAATTACTTATCAAATTATCATTAATCATTTTTTACAATTTCCCATTACTTCAAAAACAAAACAATAAATACAATGATAGGTAAATCACATTATCTACATAACAAAAAAATGTGATACCCAGACGGGAGACCTCATTTATGAATTCTCACCACCTTATGAACTGGTTTCCACACTTTCAGAAGACCACTCATTATTACTAGACTTAGGTTTATTTTCTTCATCCACCCATCTCAAAACCTCACCCCCATACCTAAGAGCAGCATCAACACTATCCCCTTCCAACCCGGTCACCGGTGTCACATACAATTTCCGCCCGGTCAACTCACCAAACAACCTCTTAAACTTAGCCGCCACATACTGAAAACCATACTGTGCTACACACGAATCATTATTATTGTTACTGTTATTGTTATTGTTATTGTTTGTATGGTTGCTTATAAACGGATTGAAATCATGAAACCATTCACATTCCGTGAGTGGTCTGGTTTTAATCTTGTTTTCTAAAAGATCGAATTTGTTGAGAATTAAAAGGAATGCTTTGTCTTTGAATCTTGGATGTGTGACCATGGTTTTGAAGAGGTTTTTGCTTTCTAACATCTTGTTCTTGAGCATTAAATTGTTGTCTATGTAAAATTCATCATAGGAAGTAAGGTCAACGCAATAGAGGATTAAGTCAACGTCTTCAAACATGCTTAACCATTTACAATTATCTCCTAGGTTGCTTGAGTTCACTCGGATCAATTCATACCTGTGGAAATACAAAAACAACAATTTACTTTCGTTTCATTCTATTATACTAGGATTATACTTTCAACTTTCTTTTTAGGATTTTTAAAGGAGAATGTTGTAATAAGAAGAAATGAAAGTAGAATAAAAAAAATTAAAGAAAGTAAGTTGCTAACCTTTGCAGTGGAGGGTTGTTGTGCTCAGTAACCTCCATGTAGCTATTTGTAAATGAAGAGGGAACTGAGAACTCCATTGAAGTAAGTCCATTTGAAGATGAAATGCCATCAGCATATAAAATGTCAACATCAGAAGGCTCATAATTTGTACTCGAGATTTCAACAGCCTAAAAAAATACATGATTTTTAAATTTTGTTCTGAACAAACAATCTTTCTGAACTGGATTTGTCAATGTAAAAAATATACCCGAGGTAAGAAATAATCAGCAACTATTGGGAATGCACCAAGTTCACTTCTTCTAGCATATGCTGCTTGAAATGCTTTATCTTTCCATAATTCCTCAACTACCCCTGAATACTCACGGGTTGCAGCTGGAAAAACAGTTCCCAGATTGCCTGACTTCACAATTTCAAGAAGCCAATCGGAGAAATTTTTCAGTTTTGTACTTAAGGAATATATGTTTTCAATCGAACCCCCTGCGGCTGAATAAAGAAGCTTCAGATTATAAAATTTTTTAAGTAGATATTAAATTCTTCAACTTTTTTTTATTATCAATTCCACTCATCATACCTGAAGTACCAGGTTGATCAACTAGTTTGTTCCTGATTTGTATTGAATATTCTTCTTCAAATTTTATAAGCCCCTCGAGCAAAATACTTATATAAAGATACAAGTTTCTTTGTATCAAAGACTTGAGTTCTTCACGCTCATTTTCCAAAAATGGGATTTTGTAAAGAGTCTTGGCCTGATAAAAAGAAAACATTTATGTTCAAGAACTCAATTATCATGAAAAGGGTATGCAAAATACTTAAAAAAGATTTATTTTTACTGTTGTTTTACCTGTTTATATATAGCACTTGTCCCAGATTGATCTTGACCAACTAAAAGTATTTTAGTTAGCGGTTTTATATCAATGTTTTTCTGCATAATTTTACTGCCATTGTTGACCGTTTCGTCCTCGGATGACATAAAAGATTTGGGTGGCATTGGCAAAGACAAGATAGAACACACCATCTTGATTCCTGGCTGAAACCCAATTTGTCCTAGTCAGCATCCGAATTGAAAAAAAAAAAGGATAAAAAGCTCAAATATATAAAAGCTACAAACCTTTTCCCACATATTCCCCTTTACTTGTTTCTGTCCCTCTTCTAGAACTGATCCATCAGGACCTACCCAAAAATCAGTGCAATCTTTGTAATTGATCCCCACAAACTGCATATTTTCAA